CATTTCTGTCGTTAAGTTTTACCTTGCAAGTAAATAAAACCGAGTAATTATCATTCTGTGTTTTCTTCTTCAACTTATCACAGCAATAGTAACAACAATTAGGTAATCATCGGCTGTCGCGGGCCAGATCGATGACAGTAAATCATTGGCTGTCGCGGACCGGATTGATAACACTGGCGGGCCGGATTTGGCCCGCGGGCCGTAGTTTGGAGACCCCTGATATAGACGCTTAATAAAGGAGTGTAGAAGCGCAAATTCGTCATCTTCTTCTGTATGACGCAAACTTCTCAACTCTATTCCTTTATTCAAGTCTCAAATTGAAAAATAGATATTATCAATTCCTAGAATGAAAATTCATTAGTTGATTGGTTTAAAAAATAATTGATAATCATAACTTATCTCAACATTCATCCAGGTGATTGTATTCGTAATTTGTGTTTTTTATTTACTTGTTTTTATTCATGAATATTACTCTTAATATATTTTTATTCATATTCAATCATTTACTAGTGATATAATAATTTTTCTGGGTAACAGGATCAAATTTGTTTGAAAAAACAGTTGTTTTGTTGCCGACGCTTTGAATTTAATTAAATTCTTGTCCAGGGACTGTAACAATGAATTTTCATAAACATACCTCCCACAAAACTTAAAAAATTATTATTGTTTCAATTTTACAAGTTAAATCACTCACCGAAAAATAGTTTCTTCGAAACATTTTTCAAGACAAAAATTCATCCTGTTACCCAACCAATCTTTGTTTCTATTATTATTATTCATTTATTTTTTGTTATTCCCATTATAAAAACTTGGTAATTTTGTTTACAAAAAGTGGTCATTATTACTGAAAATATTGATGGATCCTGTAAAAAAGTTGTAGAGAAAATACTCGAATTAGTTAAATATGATTATACCTGAATTTATCAAAGATCTGTATCTGAATCCAGGGAGGAACAAGCAGAGAAAATAGTACCGCCGGCTTGACTGCATACGTGATTCTAAGTCTTCTGGAAGCCAACATTGAAGTCCCCAAGCTAGTTCAAACCGATGCCAAATATTGTATTCGCAGTCAGCATAATCCTGATAAATATAGTTTGGCACTGTCATGTTACGCAATGTTCAAATTGAGGTGGTACCACGAAGCAGATAAAACACTGAAAAAGCTTTTGGCGGTTTCTGATCAACACCAAAATATGATGTGGTGGAGCCATAAAGGTATGTAGATTTTTAGATAAATTGGGACTGTTTAGAAATTCATGCAGAACAATTACAGCTTGGCAAATCTAGATATTCCTCTGAGATGCGCGTACAATAAAGAGAGATGGTAACTGTTTCTTTATGACAGTCAAAAATTGTTAGAAAGATTGAAGAATATTGCGCCTCAAACAAGGAAAAAGATTCAATGTTTTTTGCGATTCTCAATGTAAATATCTCTCCTATGGATGGAAGTTGGATGAAGACATTGGTCTTTTATTTCGTATTAACTTATTCAAGTATTCACTTGAGATAGTATTGGAGAAAAGTAAAGAGAATTTGTCAGAAAATGGGACTAACTGACAAAAACTGTTTTAGTCAATTTTTCAATGAAAATGTTACTCTTTCTATGATATCTGAGAGTTGCAACAAAAAAATCATCTTTTGAATCAGAAAATCTCCCATCACTGAAGGGACAGTAAAATAACAGTAACTTGAAACTTAGCTCAAAAAAATCTAACAGCTAAGCATTTTAGATGAAAACAATATCCATATGGATTCATGTTCCAATTGACAGAAGAGAAATTAATTCCAGAAATATAACGCAAAACTATTTGTTGTATTGGTTGTTTCAAAAATTTTGTACGTTTTTATGAGCCTAATTTAAACTGTAGCTCAGTGAATACTTATTCAATTTGGTCGATATGAGTGTCATTTGAATCAGTGTACTTTTGACAACTCAACACAAGCATAAACACTGGGTGCTCGGGATTCGATGAAGTTTACGAAGACCTTTTTGCCTGACTGGCGATGGTTGTATCGATGAGAAAGTTTTCGAAGTTCTTGAAAAGATGGTAATCAGTTGGCGACAGGTCTGGAGAGTATGGTGTGTGAAGCAGAACTTCATCTTGGGTTCAGAATCAAAATATAGAAGTAAAAATTTTGGTCGGGTCCACTACTGCTACATGAATAGCATTTTACAAGTGTTGTTCATGACGAAGAATTTCAAGAACGAGGTTTAAATGATGAACGAGAACGGGAATGTTTCTTACTTATTCATCAAACTCAAACACCTGTTCATGCAGTTGCAGTTTCGTAAGAATGTATCATCTTTCCCTCCAACCGATTTCCTGGAGTCTTTGAAGTCCACTAGATACTCGTTAGGACAACAAGAGGATTGTTCCGAATTCTTGGGGTTTTTGTTGAATACTCTTCGTGAGCAAAACAATAGCAAAATCAATGCTCTTGACCGCTCTGGATTGAATGATTCCGTACAGTCCATCTCGTCTTGTGTTTGTAAATCTTTTGCTGGAAAAATCCACACTTGTTTACTCTGTAGTAAATGTTCAAGAGGTAGCGAAAACGTATGTGAGTTTCTGGAACTTCATCTAACTTTTCTTAATATGACTAATAACCAGTCCGTGCAAAGCTTATTGTTAAATCATCTGAAAATGGAATTTTTAACAGGTTATGATCGACTCTATTGCCAAACATGCGCCAACCCAACTGACTGTTATAAGGAAACAAGTATAGCTGAGGCACCAGTCAATCTAATAATAACACTGATGATCTTCAAACAAGACTCAACCTCTGAAGGAAGCAAGAAACTCTTTGGAAGATTCGAAATAGATGAACATTTCAATCTAGCAGACCACTAATTTAATATTCATGCAGTCATTGTTCATTGTGGTTCTGGCGTTGAATTTGGTCATTATCACGCCTTGGTTGAAGACGAACCGGACTGGTTTAAGTTTGACAATAGTCGTGTCACGGAGTGTTCTGGCGATATATTGAATCTATTAGAGCCTCTGGAGACACCCTACATTTTGTTTATGATGGAGAGGACATTGGTAGATCCAGATCTTCAGATGATGTGGTGCTGCAGGTTTTTCCGGGTTTTCCTGCAGCTGAAAAAGCAAATGCGCCACTGGAATCAATGAAGTCGCCCCGGAGCGCCAATCAATTCTTATTGTTGTTTATATTTTTATCGTTGTTTTATAATTTCACAAATAAACTACTGAAATATATATTGCAAAGATATGTGAGGCTGCAGACAGATCTAACGAAAGGTTCTGCAGATATAATGATAGATGTAATTACAGTTTGCTGGAAGCTCAACATCCTGATGATATTTTTAGAAACATAACTTTTTCAATTCTGAAAATTAACTTTGTTTTCAAAAAAGTTTATTAACCAGGAAAATTGTTGTCATTTTGGCACTTGTTTTGGTGTCATTTGGCGTAAATATTATTCAATAAATGTATTTTTCGAAGTATGTAGATGGTCATTTGAATTTTTCTAAATAAAACATCTATAGCATTTATATAATCGTAACCAATTCTGAATTCATCAGGAAATTCAACATCAGCATCAGATATTGAGACAACAAGCTATGCGCTATTATCGCTGCTACATCAGAATACATCGGAGAATATGGCAAATGCACTCGCAGTGGTACGCTGGCTATCTTCCAAATTTGAATCTAAGGGTAGCTTCAAATCGACTCAGGTGAGGTTTATTTCTAGTAAAGTTAGATCGAAAACCCTCGTAAATACCTTCGACGTGGGTGGTTTGCTTCGCTCACTCAATCCACCGAGGTGTGAACCGGCGGTTCGAACCGCAAGGTCGGACGATCAATTTAGCTTCCTATCGTCCAACACGCGTTAGGAATCACATGTTAAAAGATAAGACCACGTTATTCCTTAGCTCGCACAAGTTTCGACTTTTGAGAGTTTTCGTTTGGTTAACGGAAAAACAGATTTGTTTCAACAAATTTTATTTTTAACATGGCACAAGATGTGTTATTTTTGAAATACAAATCAACAGAATTTCGTTTATGAAAAGAGATTATATTATATTGTATGTCTTGTCTTGTCTTGTGGTGTCTTTTCTTGTCTTTTCGTGTCGCTTCATGTCGTGTCGTGTAATGCCATGCCGTGTCGTGTCATGATGTGTCATGTCATTTCATGTCATGTCGTGTCATGATGTGTCATGTCGTTTCATGGCATGTTGTGTTATGTCGTGTCGAGTCGTGTCAGCATATCGTGTCACGACTTGACGTGACATTTCATGTCGCATCGCGTCATGTCATATCGTGTCGTGTTGTGACATGTCGTATCATGTCTTTTATGATGTCGTGTAATAACATGTCATGTCATGTGTCATTTCGTGTCGAGTCATCGTGTCATGTCATATCGCGTGGTGTCATGTTGTGACATTTTGTGTTACCTCGTGTCACGTCATGTCGTGTCGTGCCATACCGTGTCGTGTTATGTCTTGTCACGTAATGTCGTGCCGTGTCATGTCGTGTCATATCATTTCGTGTTGTTTTGCCACGATGTGTCGAGTCGTCGTGTCATCATGTCGTGTCATAGCAGGTGGTGTCGTGTTGTCACGATGTCGTGACATGATGGCATGTAATGCCAGGTCGTATCATGTCATGTCGTGTCATATCATATCGTGTCATGTCATGTCATGATACATCGTAACGTGCCGTGTCGTGTCATATCGTTTCATGTCGTGTCATGTCATGTCGAGTCGTCTTGTCATGGCATATCGTGTCGTGTCATGTGGTGGCATATCGTGTCTTGTTTTGTTATGTAGTGTTGTGCCATGTCACAATATATCGTGTCATGTGGTATCGTGGTATGTCGTGAAATGTCTTGTTTTGTCATGCCATGTCGTGTCTTTTTGTGTCGTTCCATGTCATGTCGCGACGTTTCGTGTCGTATCATGTCATGTCATGTCCAAACCATATCATTTCATATTAAAGTATGCATGATCTACATATTTTTGTATTGAGGTAATTTCTTCAATGAATTATTTTCTTCCATCCTTCGGAAGATTTTCACATTTTTTGTAGTAAGATGAAGAAGTAGAAAGCCAAAATTTGTCTTTCTCAAAAATAATCTGTCCTAAAAATATCTACATTACAGTTGAATATGTGATTATTTCTATATAATATAGTTTACTTCTATGGACTGAACATCAATTGTTTAAATTATCTTCAAAAGCATCGAAATCCTTATCCTCGTAAAAAAACATTTGTTTTTACTTTCAGGATACAGTTGTAGCCTTGGATGCATTAACAAGATACTTGGGAATGGTAAAGTCGGAGTATTTGAATCTAAATCTGGATGTTGAAACAACTTATGGCAAGCAGAACTTGATGATCTCTGATAGCGATGTACTAAAATCCAGAAGGATCAATTTGAAGCAAAACAGTGGACAAGTTACTATAAAAATACGTGGCAACGGATGTGTTCTGGCACAAGTAGGTGAATAAGAAGCATTTTCAAATCATTTATTGAAGTTTCAAAAGGTCGCTACATTAGATCTATAAAAAATCATTAGTTCCTTTACAGTTTTGGCTTGAATTCAAAGTGTATACCAGTCTAATCCTCCCACTAATACAAGTACAACTTTATAGGCAGAACTAGAACTACATTGTATAAGAGGAAACTCACTGAAATGGATTGAATCCAGATCGCCAAAAATAGTAACTATTAACGAACATGGTCGAACATACAAATCTGAGAATGCAGCAGTGAAAGTAGGAATACGCCAAGGAAGCATTGCGGGTCCCTTGTTATTTATTATCTACATAAACGATTTATGTTATCATCCAAACCCACATAATTCAATTACAGTCTTTGCTGGTGACACTAATTTATTAATAGACTGTGAGTCATACCCTGAAGTAGTAAAACTAGGTAAAGAAATATTTAATGATACGAAAGAATGGTTCACTAGGAATAGTTTTATTTTGAATGAATCTAAAACTGATCAATTATAGATAGAACGACCTTGAAATTTGGATATTGAAAACATCACTATAAAATATTCAGAAGATGATGAATTCTTGAAATGGAACAAACAGATTGATTATACAGTTAACAAATTGACAAAATTTCGTATGGACTAAGGGTGGTTCACTAATATGTCAAAAAAGAATCGGTAAAAATTGTATATTTTTCCAATTTTGAGTCTGTAGCTAGATATGGAATTATATTTTGGGAAAGCAATAGTAATATAAATGAAACATTCGAATGAATGAATAATTCGAGGTATAATCAATCGTGTCAAAAATAATGGGATAATGACGATATATCCTCTTTATATTTATGAATGCTCAATGTTTGTATTAAAAAATAGGCATCTGTTCTTTAACAATATTAATCAACATTCCTATGGAACAAGAGTTTCTACTATTGATCAGTGTTCGATTACAAGTTTATCCCCCTGTTTAGCTTATTCGGGACCTGACGGAATTTCGAATATGGCTGTCATGGAAGTCTCGTTACCTACAGGGTATCAAGCGGATCGAGCTTCTCTATACAAATTAGTGGAATCGACGGATTCGTCAGGTAATGGGCTCCCATTCAACTCTACAATTCGCCTGAACGTGAACGCAAACTAATTAATATGACTGATATTCATGTTGCAACGGCGAAAGAGAACAAAATGGGTGGAAGAGTAGTTTTTAGCTTTTTGAAAGCGTAGATTACTTTCATAAATACTTATACATCTTCCTTGTGTCGATCTGTCATTTTGTTAACACAATAAGAATCTAGCCGCCTGAACTGAAAAGTTTAAATCGATGTCCAACACACGCACAGCCCGAGAGCCGCATGTCGTGCCAAATATATCAGTTTTGTAATAAACACGGTCTGCGTGCAAATGTAACAGTTTTACATCACATTGTATGGGAGCATATGATGCACTGTTTGGAACCTTTGGTGTAGTAATGAATTTTACTGGAGTTTTTTCCCAACACCAAATCGTTATTTTTAACACCTCGACACGTGTTTCGATCACCAAGTGATCATCTTCAAAGAGGAAGATTAAAACTAGAAACTAATGCGAGCTAACCCTATTTATGCTATATAGGTATCCCATACAGGTAAACCATCCAGGCGTACCACCNATAGTGTTTTCGAACATTAGTTTTCATATTCTGTTATGAAAAAAGGGGTTGACAATGTTTCGTGGTGCATACTACCAATAATAGTGTTTTTGAACATTAGTTTTCATATTCTGTTATGAAAAAAGGGGTTGACAATGTTTCGTGGTGCATACTACCAATAATAAAACCCCTGCAAGGAAAACATCATCTTTTGTGAAGAATTCAAGGCATTTTGTCGAACTACTAGGGGCAATCGAAGTCACAAAGCAGGGTCAACTAATCAGTTTCGTGGAAAGCCTCTACACCAACGTTCCTTTCGAAGAAGCAATTCAAATCTTACAGAGAAAGCTATTCGAAGATGGGGACCTGAAGGATAGAACAAACTTACTGATACCAAGTGGTTTGAAACTTTAGCCATTGAAGAAGCCCCGAGTCTGGTTGAGATACGTTGATGACACCTTCATAATATGGAACCATGAGAATGCAGAACTAGTCACCTTCCTGAAGCTCATCAACAACGGAAGTCCTTCCATCACTTTCACAATGGAGAAGGGATTCTACAACAAATTGCCATTTTTAAACGTATTGATGAGGATGAACGACACGAAATGGGAAACATCTGTATACCGAAAACTCACTCACACGGAACAGTATCTTAATCAGGAATCCAACCACCATCGATCGACTAAGAGAGGAATCATCGAGACTCTATTAGACCGTGCTTCCGGGCTCTGTAATACAAAGAAAGGTCTCGAAAAGGAATTAGGCATCATCAAAAATGACCTTCAACAAAATGGTTACTTCAAAGGGATGGTGGAACAGACAGCAGAAGACAGCAAGAGCCTCATAAGGAAGAGAAGCCGCTACAACCAGTACTTGTACTTCCCTACATCAGAGGATAATCGGAAAGGATAAGAAGAATTTGGACCAAGTATAACATCAGAACCTGCTTCAGATCTGGGAACACTATCCGTAGCAGCCTCACGAAAACCAGGCCACCAAACGCGGACTTCGATTCCAAGAATTGAATTTACTGAATACCCTGCGAGTGCGGAGAATCATACATCGGTGAAACTAAGAGGCCATTGGAAGTTTGCATTGCTGAAGAAACACACACAGCGAAGAGAAACCAGCAAATAAGTGGTCTCAAGCTGAAATCTTCCACAAGGAGGAACACTGGTTTAGGAGAAAATTCAAAGAAGTCACTTATATATTGTCCAACAATGCATTTAGCCAAGCTAGCGTAGATATACGCAACATATGGAAACCTATAATCTTATATGTTTATACCTAAAGAATCGTCTGTTGAATTTATGCTACGTACTTAATCAACACCCTGTATATGGACCGAAGAAAGGCCTTCGTTTTTGCCTCTTACTTTGACCTACGTTCTGAAATGATTTTCTTATCGATGTATCGTTTAGATTACCTTCCAGCAAAAAATTTGAGATATTTTTGCTCTTCTTATAGATATTATGGGGCGCAGATTCTTTCCACTTGTTTTATCAACCATTCCCGGCTTCTATATACTCCGCGATCTAATTGGTCTCCGTTTACTGTATCCAGAACATCCAAAAATGGTAATTGTCTTTCAACTGGAAGGAAGAAACAATTAAGAACAACAAAATTCAGACACCAGCTTTAAAAACACCAGTACGGAGAAAATTCCCGAACCGTCTGAGCAGATCATAATCAGTGATCAGTCAGGATCAGCTCTAACCGAGTCTAACCCCTCTCCAGCCACTAATGAATTTAGCCTGCGTTCACTGGCGTTACTTTAGTAACAAAATGTTACTTTTTGACGTTCAAAAAGTTACGATTTCACCAATTTTGTTACATTTTGAGAAGTGTCGCATTAAAACTGATAGTTGACGTATCATAACTGAGAGTTAACATACCGAAACCGACGATCGGAGAGCATTCTCACAAGTCTTCTGACGTGTGAAAATAGACATATTAAAACTGAGCCAGGCGATAAAACAAAAACTGTCCATTGTTTTCAAATATTGTTGAGGTTTCTTTTCGTGAGCGAAAGTAATCTATTCTGCTTAATATTTAGTTTACCATGGCCGTAATAAACGCACCAAAGAACATTACTCTTACAAATTCACAATTAAATAACTCAAAAAATGCCGATGACAATAAACATAACCTTTGTTTCACATGTAGTCATTCCGACCAGCTGTTTATCATTTGAGTAGCACCATCATCGGTAGAAATTCTTCCCTATGACTTTTGAAGCTAGTGTTGCCAACATCTCTGCATGAAATGCTGTGCTTTTATGCGATTCATTCAGAAGTTACAATTTTCTGTCAAATGCAACTTTTTTTAAATAATCTACTACAAATGTTGACGAGCACGCCAATGTACCTCCGAACTTGGGAACGATAAGAGAGTCCTTTGAAGTAGCCAGCNCCGACAAATGTGATAATTGTACTAACTCAAAGGTCATACATCAATGCTACTGAATTGTTAAGGTTTCAACCAGTTTCAATTTCAAGATGATTCAAGAGACTGAATATATATTTTGTTTGCGCTTTGGAAGAATACAATGATGAAAGTTCATTCTGAATAGTCATGGTTTCAAAAAGTGATCTCTATATCTCTACACTTATTCGTTTGATATGAGTTTGGCAGAAGCCTAACATTTATTTTATTTACAGGAATCAAAATGTTCGAAGAGAAGACAGATAAAGTTAATTTGTATTTCACAAAACTGGATAAGAAACTCTTCTGTTTCACATTCAATATAAATGAGCACTTCATAGTGGAAGAAAGGAAAAATTCATACGTGAAACTTTATGACTACTACAGACCCGAAAATGAAGTTCAACAAGTTTACGCGATGTTGACAAACTGTAGTAATCATTTCAACGCATCGGATACTCCTGACATATTTGGTAAGTTTGATGGCAGATTTGAATATCTTTTTGAATTTGAGCTGAATTTCAGCATTTTCCATCGTTTATACGTATTGATTTCAGGTCACAATCACAAATAATCGTGATTTACACATCTTTGCAGAGAGTTTATTTTAAAATACATTGCATTCTTTATTCCTTTGCAAAATTTCCACATTTTTTTGTATCAAGATGGAGAAGTAGAAAGCCAGAAGGTTTCTTTCCCAAAAATTGATCTCTACTAAAAATATACACCTTTCAATTAAAGCGTTCTTATTTCACATACTTACGGAAGCGTAGAAAGTGCACACAATTTTTTGTTTGTTTCTTGGAAACTCCGACTTTTGACGATACAAAATGTATAAACATGCAAAAGTTCCATTTGAATCAAATTTATTTAGTCAAAAAATTTTAGTCAGTGTATGATGTATCTAAAAAAGTTATCTATTCAATTATGCTTGAAGAAGCTATTGTATAGCCAAACACGTGTCGCGGTTTTTGTAAAACCCTTATAGTGAAAATCATACAATGAACTGTATTGATTAGTTTTTTAATATGGATTTTCATCAAGTATCGGCCAATTTTTAGACTTTTCAAGCTATATTTATTTTATCTAAACTTTGGGATCAATCAGCCGTATATTGTTTAGAAAAATGACCATTGATATTTCCCGATTCCGGAGAAGGAGCCTGAAAATCAGCTACCAAGCCCAAGGAAGGCAGCAGGCACACGTTTTAATAAAAAAAATACTTTTTTCAAATGAAGAAATACATGTAAAGTGAGTTCGAATTATATCAAGGTTACATACAGCGCCATCTGCCCGCGAATAGATCAAGCAATAATGTAGATAATTCTGTCAAATACAGATCCCGATATGAAATGAAAAGGAGAGTTACTTTACAACTTCAAGATATTACGATCTGTCACAATCTGAAATACTTGTGGAATATCATAACATGAGTTTTATAGTGTCGTTGCTTTTCGAGTTTGAAAGCCGTGGATTTTTGGAATTTCTTCCTACGTTTCGCTGGCGCGAGTGGCTAGCTTCAGAGGGTTAACCATCATGGCTTGCTGTCCGATGACTACCTTTTAGGCTTCGTAACGCGTATTTATGCCTTGTCAGGTAATCAGTTGTATTTGTACCTGTATTTGTACCTGAATTTGTACCTATATTCGTACCTGCACTTGAACCTGGAACATTAACAATGTTGCTGCCTGTTTTCCTGTTCGTTATTCTCGATTTCTTCAGAATGGGGTTCCATATTTGATTGAGGTTCACCGCTTCTTCTTTTCTGTTAAAATTATTCGTGTGTTTGTGGATCTCTATTGCCTCCCGTACCAGTCGGCTATGGTATCCCTGGTTGGGGGCAATTAGTTCTGTGTTCTCAAACAAAATTCTGTGGTCTCCTTCACTCAATGCGTGTGCTGCCACAGCTGACTTGTCTGTTTGGCCTAGTCTGCAGTTCCTTTTATGCTCTTTCAGTCTTGTTCCCATGGATCGTTTGGTGGTTCCGATATATACCTTTCCACAAGTGCACGGAATGCGATAGACCCCTGCTGCTGATAATGGGTCTCTTTCGTCTTTAGCCGACCTGAGGCTTTGTTGATACAACAATCAAATATGGAACCCCATTTTAAGGAATTCGAGAATAACGAACAGGACAACAGGCAGCAAGATTGTTAAAGTTCCAGGTTCAAGTGCAGGTACGAATACAGGTACAAATTCAGGTACAAGTACAGGTACAAATACAACTGATTGCCTGACAAGGCATAAATACGCTTTACGAAGCCTAAAAGGTAGTCATCGGACAGCAAGCCATGATGGTTAAACCTCTGAAGAAGCTAGCCACTCGCGCCAGCGAAACGTCAGAAAGAAATTCCAAAAATACACGGCTTCCAAACACGAAAAGCAACGACACTGAAAACCTCAGCCGTGAAAGTCTAAACTATTTTGTCATGAGTTTTATAAATTATTTTTCAAAATTCAAGGTTTGACCCAAGTACTTTTTTTATTTCCAGAATTGGATTCCATGCAGGACCTGGGTTCGAATGCAACAGTTTTGGAAACTGACACATCCCTCGTTTAATGGAATCTCTCATCACGTGGAAGTCCAATTCCGGATAATAGAATAATATATGAAAAATGTATTTGAATAAAATAGTTTTAATTTCTATTTTCTTCATTTCTATCTGTTTCTTCTTTCGACTCGTTTTTTGTGTGAGAAAATATTCGTTGGTAAAACTACCATTTCTACATCACATCCATCAATATCAATATGAAGTCATCCAACAGGTAATAAGAAACGGAGAAAATGGAGACTTTACGGTTCTAACATTGTGGGATCTGAGCAAAGCTTTTGACTGTGTAAACCATCATTTACTAATAGAGAAACTTGAATTTTATGGCATCAGAGATTAAGCTTCAAAATTCTTCCAGTCTTATATCTCATTTCGAAAACAGGCAGTATGCATAAATGGTAATTTATCAGATGAAAAGTCTATGGATTATGGAATACCTCAAGGATCCATCTTGGGTCCATCCCTTTTTGTAATCTATTTAAATGATTTATTCTATTACCTTTTACCCTGTATAGTGATCTGCTTTACCGACGACACCACTATGTTACAATCAAATTCTGATATCTCAAATTTACTTGTAAATGCCAAAGAAACCGAAGACAGAGCAGAATACTGATTTATTGAAAGGAAACACTCAAAAACACATTAAAAATATTACCAAAAAGCACTGCTATAATATAATACTGCATGTTTTATACACAAATAACAAATATTATCAAGAAACACCAAAACTATTTACCGGAATATGTTTAGTCCCGGTCCGTCACGGTATCCCGTCCGAATAATTAAATAAAAAACAAACGCATTCATACACTAACGGAGACCAACTGGAGGCAAGCCTCGTCTGACGCTATAATTTCTGCAACTGAAATTACAAATCGGGACGTATGTCGCTGGTTGGATCGGTCTCGTGGAGCCTGTGTTTTTTAAAGCGGTCGGAGGCTTGGCTTCCTTGCAACGTATGGCATTTAAAATTTCGGGTTGATAGTTTATTCGTTATTCGTTCATGAGCGGTGCGTTTGAGTTTTGTTGATGCAGGATACAGTGTGGTACGTACTACGTAGTGAGTGATAGTGTTTTTTCGGGCATATTATGTATTTATATTAAAAATTAATGGTAAAGTAATGATACCCAAGCATTTTTTAAAAAAAATAATATTTATTATTTGTCGATATTTTTTAATTTATTGCGATGAATAGCCTCAAATTTTATGGGGAGGCTAAGCCTCCCTTGCCTTCAAATGACAGTGACCAGTAGGAAGGCTGTTAGACATTGTAGTCCATCCCTACTGTAGTCCAACAACTGTTTGGAATCAAGCTTCGAAGGGTGAATAAACGCCTTGGAGTGAGCCAATCCTGGAAGATTCTGCCAGAAGTCAATAAATCTTCTTGCCATCCAGGTGTTCAATCTTTGTTTAGCAAAGCCTGAAGCGATTCCAATGACAGGATCTGGTCTGATGAAGCTGCTTACAGCAAGCACCCTCTTTTGCAAGGGAATCAACAGCCTCGTTGCCTTCCAGACCAGTATACCCAGGAATCCATACCCAGAGGAGAGTCGTAGTAATCTACTACCAATTTAGACGTTGATCGGTAGAAGCCAAGAGCTTCCAACGCCGTTTGACTGTCCGAGAATATTTTTATTGACTTGTGTATGAAGTTGAATTCTTCCAATTCCTCCGCACACAATTCAATAGCGTGAATTTCCGCTTGAAATATAGTCGCATGAGCTCCTGGCCAGGTTGATATCTCTGTCCTGGGTCTGCGACTGAAAACAGCTGCACCAGAACCGGAAGGTGTTTTTGATCCATCTGTGAACCAACAACTATCTGCTCTTCCTTCTCACGGAGGATCCAGTCCTCTCTACTCTCTACTCAGTTCGTAGTTGACAGTTGTAGGTCATTTCCAGAATGCTGAGACTTCCAGTGTACGACTTGGTGATTATACACTTTTGATAGCAAACGAAAGCAAAAATCTAGAAGTGTAGTTAGACTCCGACCTCAGGTTCCACAAGCATGTTACTGTAATTTGTCAGAACTGCTATAATATCTAACGGCAGCTGTACCAAAATAGGGACTTGATAACATCTAGGCTCAAAAGCTTTGAGAAGCACTGATGTTATCCAGAGTCCATTACTGTGAGATCATCTATGCGTTGGCCGTAATACAATCAAACATCAAGCGCCTCCAGAAAATTCAAAACAACTGTATACGGTTCTTATGGTGTAGGAAAGTTTGATCACATCTTGGCTAAATTTGAGGAGTCTAGCTGGCACAGACTGATCAAAATTAGGCAAAATTGGGATCAGTTTAATCTACCTCTTGAAGATGACCACTTGGTGATCGAAACACGTGTCGAGGTGTTAAAAATAACGATTTGGTGTTGGAAAAAACTCTAGTGATATTCATTACTACACCAAAGGTTCCAAACGGTGCATCATAAGTAAAAAAACCTCATTGTTACAACCCATATATTTATCTGTGAAAGGAAACTTCACTATTTATCTGAGAGATACGTAATATTTGAAACATAGAGTCACTCACAAAACCTGAAATCGTGGTAAATTTATCAACCCCAAACACTCCACAGCTTGTTTCACTCGAAGTTTCATATATAATTCAGTTGTCTTCTATAATGCACTTCCCAGTGAGTTCAGGCGCTACACGTTATATAACTTCAAACTGCACTTGAAATTAGCTGGATACCTTCAATTGGATACCGTAAGGCTCTCTTTCATGACATGTTATTGCAGTTTTTCTCTTATTTTCCTGTCTACTATTTTATTTTTCATATTTTAATTTTTTGCAACTGTCAAATATTCTTTTATGAGTTTAACTTTTTCAATGTCTGTGTATATTTGTGTCCTTTTAACTAGGTTTATTTGAAAAACAGCTCAAGCTGAACTTCGCCTTTCATCGTTATTCTTGTTTTTGGCTTGTCGATTAATAAAGCCGATTATTTTTATTATTATTTCAACAAAAATAAAGTAACTATTTTGTTACCAATAACTTACCAATTAAAATGAATTTCGTCTTCTTTACCTGGGAAATGAATCAAATTGAGCTCACCAAATGATTAATTAGTCGTTATTTTTAACGGTGATAAAAATTGCTGATAACTAGCTAATAACGAGAATGGAAATAAGTTGCATTATCTGTGCAGGCGTAAAATGAATGTGACACTTCCCGACAAATGTGATAATTGTACTAACTCAAAGGTCATACATCAATGCTACTGAATTGTTAAGGTTTCAACCAGTTTCAATTTCAAGATGATTCAAAATCAGCATAGGAGTCGTCCTTCATTACAATAGAAATGTAAACCTAAAAGTATTCACTAAGTGAATACAGACATATATCTAACAGGAAGTCCTTCAATTTTTTTTTGAAAATATTTACAGTCACTAACGTGTATCAGAAGAGCATTAAATAATCTCAAATCTAAACAGCTTGACGCACAAGACGTTACTTTAATTTTTGCAAATGGTATGTAATAATTTTTAGTTTGTCTTGTATTAAAAGAGTAATATTCACTAACACGGATGAATTTATTTCTGTTTTCGAAAACATACATGCACATTTCATAAACATACAACGACACAACAGTTGAAATTTTATATGTTTTAAAATTTTCGCGGCAAGATGTCTTTTTTGGGAGACCAATAATACATATCAGTACTCTTTTTTGCGATTTTAATATTTCCGGAGTGGAAGTAAAATTTCTCCATACACAAATACCATATCGCAGCCTTGAGTCGACCTGAGCAAAGTATAAATTTATCTTCTGACCTACATTCAAAATCGATTTCAGATTATAAAACAAATATGTTATGGTGTTCAACTTAGAGACAATTCCAGAGCAATGGAGTTTCCAATCGAAATGCTTATCAACCTCAATACCTAAAAATATAACATTATTTTTTTGTTCTATCTGAGCATTTTCAAGATAAACGTTGATTATCTTTTATGCTTTTGGTTTGTTATGAAAACATATAATGTTGGTATTGGTTGGATTAAGAAGTAGTAAGTTTTGAGAAAACCAGTTATTCATTGTAGAAACTACCCTATTACATTTGTTTTCCAAGTCGATTGCCAGTCTGTCGGATATAATTGCAGATGTGTCATCGGCATATTGTGTAATGAGAGCGTCAGATGAACCTATTTCGTTCTCATACAGAGAGAATAATACAAGACCCAAAATAGAACCCTGTGGAACTCCAATATCAAATGAAACTTGATGTGATTTTACTGTTTTCAATTTGGTTGAATTATTAAAATACATACGTCTCACACTTACATTCAAAGGTAGGTAGTGAAAATATTTCCTTAGATTTTAGACACTGTCTAAATGAAAGTTTCAGCTATCATATGTTCTTGAATGATGAAGGAAAGAGAATTGAAACTTTCTATGTTTTTCACCACTTTTATTGCTAACTAACGTTACTGCAGTTTCATCCTATAGACATTTTCAAACTCACACATTAAACTAAAAGTGGTTCATTACATTAACCATTACATAGCAACCCTGTTGGTAATAATAGAGGTACTTGGCTTGATTGAGTACCTGAATTCACAATTTACAACGCGGATGTGCCAATTTGAAAACCGGTGAGTAAGCTAAATCGATTTGATCATTTAACAGGTTGCACCTGCAATGTTTATGCTTATGAATTTCCAAGGATTCCAAATAATTGCACAAGGAAACAAAAGAACCCATAAAAAGGAAACAAAGACCTCAATATTCGATTTTTTGTTATCGAATATCGCGAAAATATCATCTACATACCTTAGCCTCTTGAAGATGATCACTTGGTAATCAAAACACGTGTCGAGGTGTTAAAATAAAGGTTTGGTATTGGAAAAAAACTCCAGTAATAATTATCTCATACTGAAATAAAACGAACAGTGTTGAAGTAGGACAGAATATTATTTTACAAACAATAACTTATAAAAATATATAAAACCTCTATGAATACAACAGTTTTTGCGTTAGGAAGTACTTTTCTTGCCATATTTTCTACTAAACGATATATCTGCTGAGTCGTATACTTTTCAGGTGCTAGAGGTATTGAAACAGTTCGACATTCTTTTGTTGGACCGCAGCCACCACAATCTTTTGCTTGATAAACATAGCACTCATCTCCTGGAGGACAATAAAAATTTGTACACGGGTCTCCTCCCAGTCGACAATCTGCGTAAGCTACAAAAATTCGGAAACTTTTAATTAAACGCTACTCATGAAAAGATCACTGAGAGAGACTTCAATATACAGGGTGTTCCTTAAACACATGCTAATATTCAAGGAGGTAATTCTTAGACCCATTTTAAGAAAAAATCTTCCTATGGACGTATGTCCTAAACGCCTTAACT